CACACTGCCTTCAGCCCCCCCCCTCCCCAGAGCAGCCACCTACCCTGCCCCGCGCACTCCCGTCTGGGCCTCCCACTGTGTCCGCAGGGTGCTGGGATCCAGGTGCTCTGTGTGGACCTGGCTGATTGGGAGGCCACCGAGGCAGCGCTGAGCAAGGTGGGCGACGTCGACCTGCTGGTGAACAACGCGGCGGTGGCCATGCTGCAGCCCTTCCTAGAGGTGACCAAGGAGGCCTTCGACAGGTGAGGCCTGGCACCGAGCTGGGGGCTGAGCCCAGGGAGTGGAGCGGGGCTGGGCTGTGCCGTGCCACACAAAACACAAAGCCAAGGCTGCTGGAGGTAGACAGCCCTGCAGCTCCTGCTGCCTGGGGCCTGCCTGGGGCCAGCCTGGCCCAGGGCCATGGCCATGGCACACGCCGCTGCTGCTTGGCCAGTGCAAGGACTTGCCGAGCCATTGACCTTAGCCCAGGGGGAGTCAGAGCAAGGGCATGCGCATGCTCCACCGGTCCGGCGCAAGTCAAGGCAGCTCTCAGGGCAGTTTTCCCGTGCGGGGGCAGAGCCTGCTCCTCTGGCTGAGAAATGGGGAGATGGTCTCCCCTCACCCCGATACGTCTCGCTCTGGCACGCTGGGTGCATCTCCACTGGAAAACGCCTTGGCCACAGCCAGTACCAGTGCTCCCTGCGAGCTGTGCCCTTGGGCAGCTGCCCAGGAGATTCACATGCCTCGTTTCTAGCGTGGTGCACATCCACACACGCCTCCGTGCACAGAACAGTATTTACGTCACACAGGGATGGCAAGACTTAGAGCATTGGTCAGTACTGACAGAAAAAGCAGCCTATTGAGTCCCCCAGCCGGCCCGTAACGCTGGGGGAGGCAGTCTGCTTCAGCCACGTTCCCGCTAGGACTGCCCAGCCGTGAGCGGAGTTCTCTCTTGTGCACCCACATTGGCCTGGCGGGCGCTTGTTTGGACGTGCGCCACCATGGCACACATTTAAATTGCTGCACAAGAAGAAATATTAGCCCAAAGGGTAATGCACAAGATACAATCCGGGCAGGAGGTGCAGGATTCAGGGTCAGGGGGAGCTCGGGGAGGTGGCAGCTCTTCGCTGGGGGGAGGCTGGAGCTGGGCGGCCCATTGCTCCAGCAGTTCCTTGCAGGGGATGGGTCCAGGAAGCTGCTTGCTGGGCGGGGAAGCAGAGCTGAGCACTGCCTGACCCCAGGCCAGCCGGCAACTATTTATGGGAGGAAGTGCTGGGGGGCGGGGCGGGCTGCCAGGGGGGAGCTGGGGCTGCGCTGCCCCATGCGCACCTGGACTGTGCTGCCCCCACCACCTGCCACATGGTGCTTCTGGCCCCAACTAGGGTCACCTGAAAAGCCACCCCCAGCCCTGGCGCTCCAGCCCAGCCGGGGCACCGGAGCAGCTGCCCCCAACTGGAGCTAAGCCATCACATGGCCCTGCCAGACCCCCACCTCTCACTAAGGATGTTAAATATCGAGTAATTGACTAGTCGCGTGGTCAGTGGAATTTCCATCGACTAGTTGATAGGCACTTCTGCGTTCCTCCTTTGACATGTACAAAAGCCCCCCCCGGCCTCCGCTGGAGCTCTTGTACATTTCGAAGAAGGAACGCAGAACTCCATGCGCAGCCCGGGGCCAGCGGGAAGTCCCACTGACTCGGGGCTGCATACGGCCTTCCAGCTTTGAAATGTACAAGAGTCCTCAGAGGGGGCGCTTGTGAATTTCAAAGCAGAAGCGCCCTCCTGGAGCCCGGGGTCAGCGGGGGAGTCAGAGTCTCCCCAGGCTCCATGCTACGCTGCTGCTTTGAAATGCCACGCAGAGCCTGGGGGTCATCCACATGGCATTTCCTCAGAACCCAGGAGCAGCTGGGGACGTCCCAGCTGACCCTGGGCTCTGTGCGCTGCACTGGAACCCAGGATCAGCAGGCTCCATGCAAATGCCACGGTGGCATTTCAGAGGAGCAGTGCCACACAGTTGAGCCCTGGATCAGCTGTGTGGCACTGCCCCTTTGAATTGCTGCCACAACGTTTGAAAGCGACAGTGCTTCATGGAGCCTGGGTATGGGCTTCGTGTGGTACTTCCACTTTGAAGAATCCCTCCCCCCCATTGCTGCCTCTATCTGATAGAGGCAGCAGGGGGGGCGGAATTGACTAGTTGACTCAACTACCTGATCAGCATTTGCTTATCGGATAGTCGACTCGTCCTTAACATCCCTAGCACTCACCTTCCGCTCCAGCAGGAAATCGGGTGGTGGGGAGTGCTGCTGTGTGGTTCTGCAGGTGAGTGACGTTTATTGTGAGCAGGGCACAGCTTAGCGGGAACCCTAGTCTGGATTCACTTGCCTTAAACTGAGTCTCATCTTAAGACGGCTCAGGTGTGGAGGGAGGGAAATTCAAGAGATCTTACTCTGGGTGGTGGGGAGGGGAGAGGAATTGCAATACTTACTTGTAAATCCATTCCGGGTCGTGTCTTCCAAGCTGGCTGTGAGCTCTCGTGAGCACAGGAAGGTGCATTTCCTCCCTTCTTGGAGGAAACCCTTGTTCCCAAAGCGAAGAAGAAGAGACGGTGCAAATGGAGCACCCAGTGTTTCACGTATGACTAGTAGTGGGTGTATGAAACAGCTGGCCACTTGCTAGTCCAGAGGGCGAAGTTCTGGACTGAGGGAGCAGCTTCTGACTGCTGTTCTGAAGAGTTTTGTGGGAGTTCCTTGCTGGTTTGAAGCCTTGGAAAGGTTTGCAGGCCCTGTGGTGGGTGCCTACTCGGGAGGCTGGCGGGTCGCTTGAGCTCTGGGCTGTGGAGCCCTATTCTGAGCGGGTGTTCGGTGCCACCCACAGTCTGGCCAGTGGCTAAAATGAGCCCAGCGTGCTGTGGTTGAGACTCTCTCTGGGAGGGCTGGTGGACCCTCGCACAAGGTCACCAAGTTAAGGATCACTTGGGCCAGGAGAGATCACTGGCTTGGGCCTGGGCCCTTGTATAATACAGGTGCTAGGCTAGAAGAGGGTCCTAACAATCTCTTGTCTCTGCTCCACGGGGGATGTGGGGGGTGCCAGCGACAGCACTTTCTTCTCCTCCTGGGAATGGTCATTGCTGGCGAGGTGGCGCCGCAATGCCACGCGGGTGTTCAGATAAGACCAGTCCCATGGAGTTTACACCCTCTCCCCCCACACCCCCTCCCCCACACTGCGACTTTCTCCCTAACTTGGACCTTTTTTTTCAGGTCTTTCAGTGTGAACCTTCGGGCCGTGCTCCATGTTTCCCAGGTGAGACGGGCCTGTCAGTGGAGAGGGCTGGAGCCAGGGATTACGAATGTTAAGTTGTGATTAATTTACTAGTCGAGGAGTCAATGGAATTTCCTTTGACTACTCAATAGGCACTTCCACATTCCTCCTTTGAAATGTACAAGAGCCACTGCTGGGGTCCCTACATTTCAAAGGAGGAATGCGGAACTCCGCATGCAGCCCAGTGGCATGCCAGCTTTGAAATGCACAAGAGTCCCCAGCGGGGGCTCTTGTGCATTTCAAAGCGACAGCGCACCATGGAGCCTGGGCTCCATGCTGCGCTGCCGTTTTGAAATGCCACGCAGAGCCGGGAGCAGCTGGGGACTCCCCAGTTGACTCCAGGCATCATGCAGCGCTGCCCCTTTGAAACGCTGCCTCGGCGTTTGAAAGGGACAGCGCCACACAACAATCCCAGGATCAGCTGTGCGGCGCTGCAGCGCATGGTGCCCGGGGTTAGCTGGGGAGTCTCAGGTGACCCTGGGCTCCAGGCCACGCCGCATAGCTGAGCTGGGGCTCAACTGTGTGGCGCTGCTGCTTTGAAATATCCCCTTTCCCCCCTCCCCTTTGCTGCCTCTATCTGAGAGAGGCAGCAAGGGGGGGATCGACTAGTCGACTGACTGTCCAATAAGCATTTGCTTATCCGATAGTCGACTCGTCCTTAACATCCCTGCCAGGGATACGCTGTTGAGTTTCACCTTCCCTGAAGCCATGTGTACAATGGAAATACAAGTGAAGCTGGGCCAGCATCTCTGCTAGAACCAGCCTTCGTTAGTGTTGTAGACGGAGCTTGATCCTGCCTTGAGGGCGGGGGGCTGGACTCGATGACCTCTCGAGGTCCCTTCCAGTCCTATGATTCTATGATTCTATGTTAGAGCAGCTGCTCCTGCCTGAGTTCAGCGCTGGGCAGAGTCTGGGATTACTGCTCAGGCAAGCTCTTCTAACCCCCCCAGGAAGGCACCAATAGGCTGGCTTGGATGAGTTCTCCCCTCCCCCCAACACTTGTTCTTTTGTGCTGTTTCATAGAATCATAGAACACTAGAACCAGAAAGGACCACGAGAGTCATCAAATCCAGTCCCCTGCCTTCACGGCAGGAGCAAGCACCATCCAGAGCAGAGCTACTCAACTTTGGAAGCCCCAGGGGCCACAATGATACTCACAGCACATGCCAAGGGCCGCAACTTAAATGTAGTTGCATATACATGCAAATATCTATGCAAATAGCGTCTTTCACACGGACAGGCAGGAATACAAAGATTAAGCATTAAGCTGCGGCGCTGGACCCAAACGTGGCCAATGTGAGCCACTCAACACCTCACAGGCTCTGCCCACAAGGGTAAGCAGCCAGCACATCCCACAATGCCCTGGCGCTCCTGGCACCTCCTCCCTGGAGTCTAGAAAGGCCGACACCCTGCACCCATCTGTTCCAGCCAGTACATCCACTTGCGTCTTTCAATGCTCACCCTGTGGAGGCCATGTTCAAAAGATCCCACCCACGGGCTGTGCGTTGAGCCCTGCGTAAGCACACGGCAGACCACAAACCAACGGGCTGCAGGTTGCGTGTTGAGTAGCCCAATCCAGATCATCCATGACAGGTGTCTGTCAAACCTGCTCTTAAATATCTCCAGAGATGGAGATTCCACAACCTCCTCAGGCAACTTACTCCAGTGTTTAACCACCCTGACAGGCAGGAAGTTTTTCCTAATGTCCAACCTAAACCTCCCTTGCTGCAGTTTAAGGCCCTTGCTTCTTGTCCTGTCCTCAGAGGCCAAGGAGGCAGAATCACGTTGGCTTTTTTTGCAAGTGTCACACTGTTGACTCATATTCAGCTTGTGGTCCACTCTGACCCCTAGATCCCTTCCTGCAGGACTCCTTCCTAGACAGGCGCTTCCCATTCTGAGTGTGTGAAACTGCTTGTTCCTCCCTAAGTGGATTCCCTTGCATTGATCCTTATTAAACTACATCCTATTACCTCAGACCATTTTTCTAATTTGTCCAGATTGTTTTGAATTTTGACCCTATCCTCCAGAGCACTTGCAACCCCTCCCAGCTTGGTGTTATCTGCAAACTTAATAACAGTATTATTGAACTGATCCCAAAACAGACCCCTGCAGAACTCCACTGGTTATGCCTTTCAGGTATGACTATGAACCGTTAGTAACTACTCTCTGAGTACGGTTATCCAACCAGTTATGCACCCACCTTATAGTAGCCCCATCTAGGTTGTATTTGCCTAATGTATTGATAAGATCATGAGAGACCCTATCACATGCCCTTCTAAAATCTAGATATACCATGTCCACCGGTTCTCCCTTATCAACAAGACTCGTTATCCTATCAAAGAAAGCTATCCGATTGGTTTGACGTGATTTGTTCTTTACAAATCCATGCTGGCTGTTTCCTAGCACCTTATTTTCTTCCCAGATGTCAGCAGATGAATTCCTTAATTACTTGCTCCATTCTCTTTCAGATCATTTCCCGGCAGATGATTGCACGGGGGGTGGCAGGAGCAATCGTCAATGTTTCGAGCCAGGCGTCTCAGCGGGCTCTGCAGGAGCATGCAGTCTACTGTGAGTGTCTCCACTTCAGCCCCCTCCAGACATGCCCATCGATCTGTAAGGGAGGGCAGCTGGAAGGGACCCAGCTCAGGGGCCAGGCACTCATCTTCCTTTGGTTGGGTTTTATTGAAGGCTGTACAAAAAGTGCCCTGGATATGCTGACCAAGGCGATGGCTCTGGAGCTGGGACCGCACAAGGTGAGAGCCAGGCTCTGCACGAGAGCAGGGAGGGGGCAGAGGCATTTCTGTTACCTAATGTCCTGCGGTTGGTGGCAGATCCGGGTGAACAGCGTGAACCCCACGGTGGTTATGACTGACATGGGGCGGATTAACTGGAGCGAGCCTCAGAAAGCGGCAGGCATGATCCGGCGAATTCCTCTGGGGAAGTTTGCAGGTCAGTGGCAGGGGTTTGCTAAGGAGCCGTTCCACATTCAGCTCCTCTGCGCTGTGGTGCGTCCTCCTCCCAGGCTGCTCAGCCGTGGCTGCCTGCCCCTGTGAGCCCACCAGCCCGGGGAGCAGCACTGGCACCACCCTGCTCCGTCCGGCCGTGCCCAGGTTTGCACTTGCAGCCAGCAAGATCCAGTCAGGGCTCTTCATCCCGCCTCCCTAGTAGGAGTCTGGGCGGGGGGCAATACCCCCCCACCAGGCAGGCGCACAGGAGAGTAACCCCACCCTGTGCTGTGCCCGCCAGCCAGCCACCCCGCGAACACAGCCCAGGGACTAGCCGAAGGAGGGGGAACCCCCCCAACACTAGATCTCCGTAGTGGCCAAGAGGATGCCCCACGAGGCAGAGGGAGGCAGCTCCCTGAAGCAGCAGGTTTCTGTTCCTGCTGCTAGTGCAGTTGAGGGTCTTTCTGTGCCCCTCTCCAG